GAAAATCGTGACCATACACATGCGTTAGGATGTCCATTCACCACCGCAGCGCAGAATCGTCGCTCAGAATAACTTATTTCCAAAGTGAACGATGAAAAACTGTGTGTGTGTGGGTGGGTGGGGGGGGGGGGGGGGCATCATGCACCACCGTGGAAGGTACACATCTTAGGCATGGCGTATCTCAGGGTACGGTACTAAATATGCTCTTAACTTCCGTGCAAACACTTTTTCGCGCACGACGCAAGCTACTGACGATAGCGGAGAGATGCATGTGTATTTTCCCAAAAGTGTTTTATCAGGGTAGCACCCCCGTGAGGCCAACCTCAATTTGGCACATTCGGCAATAGCCGGACACATTCCTTTACAGCTGGAGCTAAATTAGTGGGCGGCAATAAGGGTAGAACGGGAACAGTAACGGTTCGGTCTGCGGTAGCATTTCCCCGAGAATTGTGCAAATATGGAAAAATTGAATACTACAAAAGCGATTTGCCGGCTGGACTAGAGATGGAACAGCCCTCTCGAGGTCTTCACAGTACTGGCGTGCAGGTCGGCACCAGGTCAGTGAGTGGTCAGCTCGTAAAACTGTCCGGATGCAGCGCAGCTGTTGGCGCGGCCAACACGGATGAGGTGGACCCGAGAGTCGTGTCGTTGGCGCTTCGAACGATATCGAGGAAAAATAACCATTCACTCTATAAATGAGCTTTTCTGAATTTTCATCTATCACTCTAAGAATGAAATCTCTCTCGATTTCTATCGCTTACTCTAAGAGTAAGTTTTTCTGAGGGACAGTTTTGCGATGGAGCGATTTTCCTGAAACATCACCAGTAATGCTACACATACGGCCAATCAGAGACATCACCAGTAATGCCACGCATAGACCAATCAGAGACACCTCCAGCAATACCACACACACGGCCAATCTGAGCAATGTGACGTATACGGCCATTCAGAGACAGCACCCGGTTTGGCATATTTCAAAGTCTGAAACTGCACACTGACACACAAGGCTGCTGCACTACGCCATCCTTCGCCGCCGCGGCCGCCACCCCTGAAGGTCGTCAGCACCAATCGATCGCCCTGAGGTGGCCTCCAGCCTCACCTCTCCGCCGGGCTCGGCTAAATACGCGGGGCATCGGCAGCGGGCATGGCTCGTTTGTTTACGGCCCGGTGCGAAAACAGTTGGCGCCCGCCGGGAGATGGTAGAAATGTCTACGAGGAGCGCGACAATTGGGTACGATCCACGGGGATCGACGTGAGGAGGTCGAGGGGAGGAAAGGAGGGCAATGAACAGTAATGAGGACACGGAACGGGTGGGGATAATGTCGACGTGGGGGGGGGGGGGGGGGGGACGGAAAGGTGTTCGAAAAAGAGCTCGCAGTCGTGCAGCAGCGTCTGGTCTTGTAAGGCACGCACACTTCAACCGACTTTTTGCGAGGTTTGTTTGGCGGCCTGACCTGAGTATTTACTCCTGCAAGTCACGCCGCGATGGGCGAGGTAAGAGCCACACCAGTGCCGGTCGTCGGACAAATCAGACACGCTACCCGGCCTCGGCCGTGAACCAACGTCAATTCGAAGACGTGTCCGGCCGGGTCCCGTGGCGCTAGGTTCAGCCGCTCTGACCTCTCGACCCGCGACCTTCCACGTCCCGTGGCGGCAGGTCCAGCCGCTGTGACCTCTCGAGCTGCGACCTACTGCGTCCCGTGGCACCAGGTCCGGCCGCTCTGACCTCTCGACCCGCTGCCAGTTACCGGCAGCGGCGGTGTTCGTCCCCTGACCTGACCACAACGCCGGGACCGGAGCCGGAAGCGTCCCTGGCACGGGCGGCTAATGTAAATGCCGCAGATAAGTGATGTCGTCGTAAATAAGACAATTTACGGTAGCAGTTGGGGCAAGAGCCGGCTGGCGGCATACTAAGCAGCCGCGGTCGGCCGCCCTGGAAGCAGAAGTCAGCGCAGGCCACCGGTGACTGGTACTCCTTGGCAGGCCGCCGGTGACGGGCACTCCCTGGCAGGCCGCCAGTGACAGGCACTCCATGGCAGGCCGCCAGTGACAGGCTCTCCTTGGCAGGCCGCCGGTGACAGGCACTCCCTGGCAGGCCGCCGGTGACAGACACTCCCTGATAAGCCGCCACGGACCTCGGGGAGGTCGACAAACGTGAACCGACTGTTTCGCCGCCCGACCACTACAGTAGCAGTGGCAGCCGCCGACCGGGGGCAGCCTGGAAAGCATTGAACTCTGCAGGCCGGCAGGTATGGAAATAAACCGAAACTGCGGTCCAAAACCGCACTGGGGCAGCAATTCCTAACCAGTTGCCTTCAAGGCGCTGTTTCTGAATATCACATTAGACGTGGTAGTTTCACACAACGTATTAAAACTTACTTTCTAAGCACTCCCCTATTTTGCGTACAATAAACACTAGGTAACTTAGTTGACGTCACCAGTGCGCAAAACAGGAGTGAGCAGATTCATTTAAAATCGGCCCCAAAAAGCCTTTGTGACCACGTTCGTGAATGTCTATCAGTCCGTTCAAGCGAACTGTTTTCTGTTGAAATCTTTTGATAATGGCTATATGAACAAATCTGACAAACATTTCAACGCATCTTGAAATAATGTATGACACAAGCAATTGTGTTCAAGGGCGCTATGTAATCTAACTACGTAATAAACAGACTTTTTATCAACGGTCCGTATGACTAAGTTTAAATATACGACAACCGCGAAAAATGCACCTTGAAAGGGACATGACGACAAGGTTAACGTTAGAAAGATGCCTCCAGGGGATTCACAAGAAAATTTAAAGAAATGACTTTCCGGAAATCTGTGGTAAAATCAAAGCATGCATATGGTAGTACCTATAGCTTTTACCTGAGTCAACTTTCAAGAAAAGGATTCATGTTTGTTTTGTTAAATGGTAAGATACTCAAAACAAACGGCCTCTTTCGACCAATCCAGAAGAGAACTACCACTTTGCATTTTTTCCCGCGGCATTCGGCAGCTATATTTGTTCTAACAGCCTGTCTTAAGCGGGGATGTAATATTTGTTTCAGACAAGAAGAGGAAGCGATGTGATCAGCGTTGTGAACCCTCAGCCTTTATCTCGACTTGTTTCGGCACGCTCAAGTGTTCTCATCTGCCAAAATCAAAACTTTTGTTATCCCTTTCTATTAGATTTTAGCGATTTTGCTGAATTTTAAATCACAGTTCGTGCCTTATGCGTGCACCAAACCGAAGACGAAAAATATATACGAACGAGCGATCTCCACATTTGGCTCCACTAATAATTCGGTTTCACTTCGGGCAAAGGAGGCGCAACGAATGCACGTAACGCTGATGTCATCCACGTGTTTGCATCCTGCCTCGAGTGTAACCTGAACGCATGATTCTGTGACTGAAGCTCAACAATAAAAGGGTTCCGTTATCGGGCCCTTGTTTACTAATTTTTAACCATATCTTAATCATCGGCGTGTGCAAGCGTGTCATCGACGGATGGTAGAGACGTCTTTTGTTTCACTTTTATTGATTGCTTGCCGTGTTTCTCCGGCGGGTCGTTTTGTTGTGGGTGACTACTGTTAAGGTCTCTGAATGAACCTATTTGGATATGTGTTCAAACAAAAATAAACCTTTCAGTTTTGGCCATGCCACGTTCTTGTGTGTGTGCTTGAACGAGATGCTGACAGCGTAGAAATTGCGAGTACAGCACAATACGCTCGCATTCTGTAGGATGTGCTAGCGCAGACCGACTAATAATAGGTGCTGCCACTGGTTTCATGTAGTTCAGTGATTTATATATATTCTTCAACTGCATGAAAGTATCTGGAAATGGAATCTGACTTTCATTTATTGTGTCTGTTCTTTCTATCATATTTCTTCTGGAAACCTAACGTACCATTCATCTGGTTGGCCTGAGCCATGTCACATGAATTGACACATTTACATCACCGTGTAATGCTGGGAGGTCTTTGACGTCTAAACAAGTGAGACAATGACTTCCATGAATGCTATAGCAAAGGGTGCGCCTTCTTCGGACCCACAGCAATGCCTACAGTTTATTTGAAGCATAGCTGACTGAGGCGTAGGTGATTATCATTGGAGCAGAGAGTCAGGGGCAAGTTCATACCACCAAGAGTTAAACCGGAGGCATCAACTTTGTTCATGTATGTTTCATAACTTTGAGATTGACTTCAATAGACTCGGGCTAGACGGGATGTTGACATACAAATTTACCCTTTGAACGGAAAACACTATAAAGCCGGCCAGGAGTCCTGAGCAAAGTTGGTTGTTAAGCTTATGCAGAAAGTCTTGAGTGCTCGTGAGATGAGGAGGCGCGAACACTAACAGCGGTGTGATGATTCACCGCGGTAGTCATGGCAGCTTATCAAGGGGTTCACCACATACAGATACTTAGACCTGAGGCTCGCTACTGGCTTGTACGGTTTCGGTGCATGTATATATATATATATATATATATATATATATATATATATATATATATAAAGGCCTTGGCGTAAGTGTATTTCAACAGCTTTTCTGCATTTGATCTAGTTACGGTTCTACTTACTAGTTTTCTCATTACGGTCGTCTGTTCATCATTTAAACCAAAAAGTAACTCGTTGATGTTTGGTATTTCTTCATTGGCCTGACGTTTCAGTGTTAAATGATTCATTTTCACACGTATGCACACGCAACACATGTTTTCACCGTTTTTCAGTGCTTTAAGTGGTCCAAAACGTACGTGCTTATCCTGAAGTAATTGTCTAGTGTTGGGCAGATGGCTAGAGCAAGTTATATATAAGTAGTTAGCAGTAAAGTTACATAACTTATATAAATCATATATCTTGCCTATAGTAATATAGCTTATAGTTATTAGTAGTAGAGTTACACGACTTTTCTTATCTATAAAAATCTTGTTGCCAGCACAGGCTGCCTGACTGCATGGTTTTACGCAAACCAAAACCATATATTCAGTCCACCAGTTCCTGCGCGCCCCACGCGCAGGTTACCTTCTCCATGGGCGTGCCCCAGAAGTCGTTGTGCAGCAGGTTGGCGAGCGGTGTGTGCGGCCGCAGATCGCGGTTGTCCTTGACCGCGCTGACGTCATCGAACACGAAGTCGCACTGCAGGGCGTTGTGGTAGCAGAGGGCGACGACCAGCGCCAGCACTACGCCATACACCCAGTGACGAGGCATGCCTGAAACAGCGACGCAGGTGTCACCGCTGCCAGAGGTCGCCAGAGCCCTGTCCGAGGTCAAGGTCGCCAACTACATTCGGGCAAACGCAATCGCGTGCTCTTGGTACAAAAGAGAAAAGAAGCCTTCTCAATGGAAATATTCACGATAAGCTGTTAAGTCAACCCAGTGAATGTGTATCGAGTGGCGTACGGCGTAATATGTTCCATACGACCAACGTCGTTCTGGGAGACCTAAACGTGCACGCGTGCACAGTGTCCTTAAGTGTACGTATCCGAAATTATGGCAGTCCGGACAGACACGTAGTCGATGAAAGCGACCGATGTCGGCTTATCCTCAAACGAGGATCAGGCTTGGCAAAAATCCCCTCTTATCAGCACTGGAGCTATTTCATTACTGGCGAGTTTAGTCGGCGATAACAAGATTGACATTCATCAGAACAGTTCTTACGTCTGGCTGGTGAATCCCTCGCAAGGATGTCGCACGCGTGACAAACCTCATGAAGTAAATCTATCTACGGTATGTTTGGGATTACCTTTGGATATTTTCACGTAGTACATGGATCAAAAGTATATGCAAGTCGCGTTCGCAAGACTACCAGCTTAAGACGTCAGGCCAAATCTAACGACACCCAGTGATAGCTCGATGTTCTTTTTGGTGCCCAAATAAGTGTGCTTTCGCGATAACAACTGGTTTATGATTTAGTAAGTTGTCGAGAGTTAAAAGTAAACTAAAATCCTTGCATTAGATCAGAACTGGACATATTTTATACAAATAAATGAATGGAGTGGTATAGACTGACGGGCAAAAAGCTATTTGGGAGACGGAAGACTCTAGTCCAAGTAATCCGACTCGAGTTTTACAAAATGATGATCGCATACGGTAGGCGAGCGCATCCGACACTGACTTACAAGATATTTTGTAAGCACATCTTAGGCTTATTGCATCCCCAGAATTCAAACACGAGTAATGTATACAACATTAAGACCGCTGAAGGAAGGGTGCGGTCTACTTTCGTTTTTTCTTTCAAGTGCCCCACTACGCTTCCAAAGCTTTGGACCATAATAGCACATTAGTTCGGAGCACCAGTCCATATCACGGAGGACAGCAAGGGGACCAGACAGGCCCTTCCTCGCATATATTTTAAAGGGAGTGTTCCACATTTGTAAAAGGTTTTGAACTAAAGTAGCCGTCTTGAAGGCCATTCGGTGCAGTTCTTAGCCCTGCCTTTCTTTATACCTAAGCCCATCTAGTTTCAGATACACGCCCGCGAAGATATGCATACCATTTTGTGGAGACTATTTCGGGCCTACCCAAGCATCCATGACGGCCCAGGGGTGGTAGAAGTGTACTTTTTGTCACCGACCAAATTTTTGGAGGAAAAATTGTCGTCAGTAGCGTAATGCGATACCAGATGACAAACTGGCCATTAACTCGCGCCCGGGTGGCCGGCTTGATACCCTTCGCTCCGGTGGGGGGGGGGGGGGGGCAATTGACCCCCGGAGATCTCCAGAACTAAGAGGGCTAGAGACACCAAATTCAGAGGGTGTATTTACCTGTACCTGAACTCACTTAGGTCAAATTTTGAGGTTTCTAGGTCATGACCTACGAGTCAAATAAGGTCAAACAAGGTCAAATTCCAGCTTGGTCCCCAAAGTGCCCCCAGAACCGAAACTACTGTTTCTAAGCCAAAGATCTCATGCTCATTTAAGGTCAGGGGCCTTGTTTGACATTTTGAAGATTGTGGCGACCAAAATCATACAAGATTGCTCTGAGTTTTGCACTTGAATAAGCGACAAAGATTACGCTAGGCAGTATGCTTCTAAAACAAAATGTTGACCTGGGTCGATTTAGGTCAATAACATATTCTGACCTCTAAGAAGTCTATGAAATATGTAGAATGTGTTCCCTGCTATGAATAAACTCACAATGAACATCAGCAACTATCCTATACAGCAAGCACTAGAGCAATAAAACATATTGGTTTTGACCTCGGTCTGACCTTCATACCTGACCTTAGGTCCACGTAATTTGCTCATTCAACATTTGTGTTGCCTAAGAAAGCATCTCAGAGATGTGTGGCTTCGTCTACACACCCCGTTGTTGTATCAGAATGAACGATTCCCTAGAAATTGACTTCGCTGCAACCATGGCCCTGACTTTGTCCTGCCACAGCTCAGCGACCTTACAAGGTACATCTCAATTTTGCATGTCAAACGATCCGCTATTTAGTCGTCGACAGCTATGCAAAATTTGGCGCGGCTACGCTGCGCCGTTCGGAAACCATCCAGGAAAAACCTTTGGAGGGTCAATTTAAGAGGGACGGATGTAAGATGCACCTGTCCTAGACTAATGAGATGGCCCAATCACAACAGCTTTCTGAAAATCATGCTTGTGCTTGGAGCCCCACCTAAACCGTCATCAAAGCATCCACCTTAGTCAGGCTCCAATCCTGCGACATCTTCTGACTGGTGGGCACCTCTCGCCGTGCCCCAACAACTGTATCGAAATTTGTTGATAACTTCACATCAGGTGGATAGCTTTTTCTGAACAAGCAAGAACAGGCCCTGGACTGAAATGCATCACAGCGCGTGCTGGCCGCGCCAACGTGAAACAGGGCCCACGGTGGCGGGCGGCGCGGCTCAAGTCTGCCGCGGCGGGGCGGTGACAGGGTAGCAAAAACCGTTTATCAGCTTTTTGGCATGCTTGCCACCGAGTCCATCCAACTGGCCTTGACCATAGGCGGTTTATGAACGAGTAACAGCTCATGCTTACGTGTCGGACGCCTATAATTGCGGCTAAGCTCTCACATTTTGTGTTTAGATGGTCCGAATACGGCGGAAATAAGTAGACCATAATATACGTACAGACCAAGGTTCCAGCTCTCATTTGCACGGCACGTGACCCTGGCTGTCGGCCTGGTGTGGCGCGCATGCAATTGGATACCTTCATATGTGGCATTTTGCTCAGGGCGCAATTATGTCACACCATGAGATACGCTTCTGAATACAATGTGTTGCGGAAGTGCTCAGATATTCTAAAGTAACATTTTCCATACGACCTTGACCTGTGACGTTAATGTACACTTAGTTTAGTTTGCTTTGTGGTCTGAAACCCGGCGTCACGGCGCTGTTGATTGCGGATTTGAATCTTTGAATTCGGCCAGGCTGTTCTTGAGAAATGCAGAGGGAGTCCGCCCCATCCAGTCCAACCGCTCTGGCCGTAAGCGGTTCCGCTGCTGGCACGGCTTGTGACGGGAAAGCAAAACATCCGGGATAGGCATGCTGCGTGGGCCTTGCGAATGCTATTTGTTGAATGTTGTTCGATTTTTCTCATGATGATTTCAGAAACATGCAGTTCCAATAAATATTTCCTTGAACCGAAAACATGTCAGGTGATGAAAACAGTGGCGTTTTGGCGTCGTTTTTGGTTGTAGCATTTAGGCTAAAAACGATCATATTGAAGGGATCGTGCTTCCTCTAAGGAGGTCATGTTCAGCCCAACTTGGCGAACACACAGGACATAAGGACTAAATACATGAAAATGGGGTAGAAGCGAAGTAGGAAGATGTAAGACGTTGCGACGCCCCACATGCTTCAAGGGAGTGTTCCATATTTATATGGGGTTTTGAACTGAAATGGCCATCTTGAGAAACTTTCAGTGCTGCTTCACAATCCCTGCACTTATTGAAATCTAAGCCCTTCTAGTTTTTCAGCCACACGCCCGCGAAAATGGGGAAAGATATATCGCGGAGGGTATTTCAAAGTCGCACTTGGCATTAATGACGTCATAATAATGTAATTCACATCCTGCTATTCCAGAAGCCATGCGGCGATCAAGGCCAAAAACATGTATTGTCGAGACGTTCATTACCCGGCATACGTGAGCGCGATTGCCGGATACAACGGCCGTCAATTGGCTCTTGATCAATATTGTGCAAGATACCATGACGTACTGAAACCATGACGCGTTGAGGACCATATTCGCAAAACAAACAATTATGCTGTCCACAGCAATCTTTTCCACTTGAAGAGTATACCAGTAGTTACGTGAGATGATGTTTCATTTTGTCTGATGCTTCCTTTAATATTTTGAAACGTGAAACATTCTCGTGAGCTGAACGTGACTATCTTTAGCGCTGTTCAATCCACTCGATGCCATCCAGTCCCGGCTGCTGACCAGTGGGCACTGCACCACCCGGTACCAGTCCTCCCGTCTGACCGGCAACCCTCCTGGCGGACCGATCAGGTCAGGTCAGGTCAGGTCGCACCCGCGCTGTCGGCTCACGCCAACAAAGCAGCCTGTCGGTCGCCCATCAGCTGCCGAGGCCGGAGTCCGTGCTGGGCTCGAGACGACGGGGACCATGAGTTGGCGCTGCATGCCAAGCCGTGCGAGGGCACGGGGCCAGCCGCCGGTTTCCAGAGACAGCGGGTGGCTGAGGACCTCGTGGGAAGGGAGAATGGCACGGGAGAGGGAAAGGGAAAGCCTAAGGAAAGAGCAAGAGGGACGTGCTGAGGAGCTGGGGGCACCGGGACGCGGGAACGAGGGAACCGGGACCAGCCGCCGCAGCAAGCTGGCCCGTACTGAGGAGCTCTGTCGGGCCCGGCTGGGGGAGAGGGCACGGGACCAGCCTCGGCCCAGCGCCAGCGGGAATGCTGAGGAGCGTGCTGGCCCGGCTGGCGGGACGAGGGCAACGGGGACCAGCCTCCGGCCCAGCGCAGGCGGGTCCGTGCTGAGGAGCTGACTGCCCGGGGCTGGCCTGCGGGTAGTCTCCGTTCGCTTATCCCGGTAGTAGTGTGGGTAGAACTCACAACCGGAAGCTTAGGTCTGTCACAAAATTGGTTCAGGGAAGAAGTCTGCGCTTGTTCACTGATAGCCAACGGCCCTTGACTTACACCATCACTGAATAGAGGTCGACTAGTGCGAATTATGCATGACGCATGCACACATCACGGATATTTCGTCACTTGACTGGGTTTGTCACATTGGCTGTTGCCAGTGC